TACAGACTGCTTTATACACAGACATGGATAAACGTCAGTGTTGCAATTGAGTATTTTTCATTTTGTTACCGCCACATATTTGGTTGCTTTTGTGAACTCAAGAGACATGAACAACATGTGAAGCAAGATATGGGATGGAGAGCACCCCCCCACCTTTGTGGTCATTGTTAGATCCGAATCTCAGGAATTCTTTACAGACATCCAGGCTGGATGTGTTAGGCAACAATACTCAAGGGTGTGTATAGTGATTGGACATGTGGGGTGGGGGGGTACCCCTGCGTCCAATATCTTGCTGGGTACATTAACAGTGGGCAGCAAATTGATAGATGGAAACAGCACTACTTGGAATTAAACTTTGGTACAGAAATGCTCAAAGTACTTGGTATTTTTTGGCTCAATGTTTTTATTTCCATTGTCCCCAAAACACCACATTAATATTGTGCAGGAAATGTGTTTCTTGAAAAGTGCTGCACTGTGAACCTGCCAGATATATATGTTTTTCAGCCACAATTGACAACTCTACAGCATTTCATAAAACACTTCACTTTTTAGTTGCTACTTCACAGAGACGGCCAACTGAAGATGAGTGACAGCAACAAGTCCTGAAGTAGTTTCCAATCGACAATACAGTCAGCACAGTAATATCCTCAGTCTATGGACTACCAATGTGTAACAGAGTTGTGGTCGAAAGTTTACATGCACTAGGACAGAAAATGTTTAATTACAATTGTAATAATTTTGCCACTTTGTGGTAATCATTCTTTTCTGTATGAACCAGTAAATAAAGTATATGGGTTTGATTGATCAGCTGAAAGGAACATGGCTGCCAGGAATAAAGCCTCCAAATGTTTCATGAAGCATTTACAGTCCAAGTTTTAACCCTTAAAGAGCCGGGGGGGGGGATCGGGAATCCACATTTTCTGAGGTGGGTCAGCCAAAAATGTACATTTCTCCACTGCGGTGCTCAATGCATGCAAGCTGGCACACATTTAACCTTGAACTTCAAATTACTGTATCAACAAAACTATGTCCGAGTTCAAATCATTTTATTTGTAATGATGAGGAGTGTCTTTACATGCATCCCAAGTAAAAAAAAAATAACTGAGTGAGGCATGGCTGAGTTCTTGGGGAGGGGTGGATCTTCCCCCAACCCCCTGCTCCCAGCTGTGAGCTGGGCCCAAACAACCCAGCTTTAATAGAGTTAAATGTGATGGAAGTATCTCACAGTTGGTTTTCAAGACTCTTGCAACAGTTACAAGTTGTCTACACGGCACACCAATCCTGTGTGAATTAGAGTCAAAATCTCACTAGTCCTAGACAAACTGAGTGCGAGCTATAATTTCATAGCTCTTTCTTATTTTGGAATAGTTTTGGAAAACCATTTGAGAAATTTGTGACCTGCTCTGTGAAAGTGAATCATAAAGCCACTTTCTCTGTAATCTATTTCAATTTATATTAGAAAGAGAAGGCTTAACTCTTTGCTTTGATGTATCGCTCATTTTGGCATCCTGACGGACATTGAACTGGTGAAAAGTGTCGGCGGTTCCCATTGATTTCCACTGCACATGGTTCTTTTAAAGGCTTGTCACTCAAAACTGGCTCTGGTGACTTGTGATTCTCTGTCACAAAGCGGGTCACATTTATCTTTGAATATTTCAGATACATATCAACAGAACTATTTGGATTCTGGGTAAGTGCAACATGAATTCAAGTCAATATGATATGGTGGCAGTCGCAAGAACAATTATGGGATACTTTTAAGATGGTGCTGGAGGTGATTGGTCCTACACTGTTGGAGTCATTTTGGGCAAATGTATCAGCTCAAACATGACAGAAGCAAAAGTGGACTGGCTGTGTGGGACAGGTACCCTTTGCCACCGTCAACCATCTCAAAAAGTCTTTCATTAATAAACCTCTTGCTTTACAATGAACCTTCTTATAGACTACTCTGAGGAGACATCTTTACTGTGTTGGCACCAAAATATATACCAGTACAGGGGCTAGGGGAGGTGTTACCAATTGTTTTCTTAAGAATTAAAAGGCCAACTGATAAGAAACGGTAATCCATGAACCACCTTTCGTTTTTTTAAGGGAGCAGAAGGAGAGGATTCTTTCACAGAAAGAAATTGGAACAATCGTTTTTAGAAAAAAAAGCCCCGACATGTACGTCGCCCCAACTCAAACCTAGATACACCACTGCACACATGCATCATTGAGATCACATTTCTTTTGGTAAATCACAACACCCAATGGTTGAAGAGTAAAGTGCGTTTACACATGGGCACAGCTTCAGCGTGAAAGGGATACCACTACAATTCTGGTCACTGATAAGTCTATAAATCTCAAATCATGGAGGAAAAAGAAATTGGTGATCAGCTCTCAGTGTTAGCGGGTCTGGTGGCAGGATGACTTTGCTGGCTGGTTAGCGATTCTTTTACAACAGTTGTATTGTCTCTAATGTTTTCCGTCGAGAAACACTACACCAGTTCTCCACAGTCACAAATGGTCACTTTTTCTTTTGGTTTTCCCGACTTGGTTCCAACGTTCTCGATTTTCCTCACAATGTCCATTCCCTCGGTCACATGACCAAATACCACATGTTTTCCATCAAGCCTGTGGAACAAACACATCAAGGTATCAATCACATCATCAGATTTCTGGTTCACTGTTACATCTTGTAATCTGTTATCACTGAAGGCAAAACCAACATCAACAATTACCTGCTACTGTTTAAATCAAATTCCATCCCAGTGTCTGTTATTCGAACAAAACCACTTTGCGAAGTGAATTCTGTGTCAACTAAGCTGCTTGTTTATTTTTCAGATCTTATGACATATTTTGGGCCAAATAGAAAAACAAATTTCAACCAAACATATGATTTATGCTGTTTAGCACTGATGGAAATAATAACACGAAATTTCACATTCAGTGTATCAGCACACATCCAGGAAAGTACCAATTTTTGTAAAGTTTTCTGACCTATGGCCACTTTCTTGTTTACCAACCCACCGAGACAGAACAATGGCCAACCTTGAATCGGAAACAATTTCTGTTTTCATTCCATTCTCCAAAGTTGCTGCCTTAAATAAACTGTAAATAAAACATGTGGCCTACTGATAACAGCCTGTATAAAGAAAACTGCACTTCAATGGATCACACATGCCACTTACCCTTTATATACATGACTATTTGAACCAATGCCTGCAAAGGTTCTTAACCTGCTGGTCTATTTTCCCCACTGAGGGGTTACATCTAATACACGCTGTAACTATTCCCTTAAGTAGAACTGTGAGGTATTAGTCAACCAAATGTGCCGATCACTGACACCAGGTTGCCATATAATGAAAGTCACTCACCAGTCTGTCTTTGCTGTTGTTAGGAAGAACTGGGAACCATTTGTACCCGGTCCTGAATTGGCCATAGATAACACCCCTGTTAACCAAATTAGAGAAAGAGCTACATGTTGGGATAACAATGGAGAGGAACATTAGTCACTAATGAACTCAATAATTCAAAAATTACTGCAAGAAAAATGCCACTAAGATGGATGTGTGCAGGCCTGTTGACAAACAGCCTATTACTCATAACACATGGGGCAGTCAGCGGTTTGACCTGTCACCAGCCCCTTTGAAATAACACTGCCAAACAAGGTTACAATTTATCCTCTCTAAAACTGTCACTGAAAATTGGCTGTCAGCCTAACTACCTTGAATGGTGACCTGGTTATAAAGTGCTGGCTCAGAAAACAATTGGCCCTGAATTAAAAGACAAGGACCACTTTCAAATAATGAGATTTATGAAGCAATGCCTGTTTTGTACCAAAATGGTTATACCAAGGCATTCATATACTTGGTCTTTGTAGGGAATAGAGACCAGTGTTCCATATTATAGTGATGAAGAATGTTTACCTGGTTGTGTGTGCTTTAAGATGAAGTTCTCATCTTCAAATTTCTTGCCATAGATTGACTTTCCTCCTGTTCCATTGTGGTTTGTGAAGTCTCCTCCTTGGCACATCTGTTTTCCATCAGATAAGGAAATCAGACAATAAACACACACAACACAATATAAAACTAGCCACCACACTTGCAACACACACACACGACAACAAAACCAAGTTGCCTACAAACCAACCCGTAGCAATCAAACCAGCGCTTTGAAACACTGCATAATGCTGATGTTTTTTCTTGTACCATAACAAAAGAGCGAAGAAATGGTTTTGACACCAGTGATCACTTGGACCTGACAACCAATAGATATCAAATTGCAGATGATTGTAAATGAAGAACAGTAAATTTTGGCCTTACTCTCGCCCCAAAATTTCTACTTTGATAATCATATCTCTAGAGCCAATGATTTTCTGCAATCACGGAAAATGGACGGAATTCGCAGAATCAACACTTTCAAATGGAAATCACTGCTTGAAATGGAACTTGCCAAATTTCCCACTAAGAATGGCTTAAAAGTAAAGAAACCTTTCCGCAAAGAACCATAAATAAATGCCTACCAAACTGTTTTAAAATGCTTGCATTATGCTTGAAACATGCTAAATTACACCACCCCACTACATGATTGGGTCGTCCACCCCGGTACCAATACTTGCAAGCGCAGTGGCGCGGCATCCCGTCGTAAGCCTCAAGCATGCAGCGGCAGCCTGTACAGTAAAGTACACATGTGCACCGTACTAGCATTGATATCAAGGTGCAGACAAGTTCACATTCACACATACATGTATGCTGGTTATTGCACACGTGGGGAATTCAGTCTGTGAATCTACATAGATGCCTTGAGACAAGGCTAGTACCACATGGTGAAACAATGAAACCGCACCAGCAAAACGAACATATTTCTTAAAGTAAACAAAACCTAGTAAGCTTGGTGTACAATAGCTCAATGAGCCCTCGGAAGTGTTTGATGAAGAGCAAAGTTTTCAGTCACAAACATGCATTTTATGGCTCAGATTTAATGTTAACTTTCTGAATTTTGTGGCACTACTGCCAAATACAATGGTGGGTTGACGTCTAACATTAACATATTGTGATCAACGACTGTTGCATGCAAGCCCTACTCTATGACTTCACTGTACATTTACACTGTACATGCAATTTGATTATATACATGAGGATTGACACATGAAATGTCTGTTAACTGAAGCAAGTTTTTGACAATTGCTCCGGTGGGAAATCAAGGGGTGGGGGATGCCGTATTTATTGTTTGGATTTCTACAAATTATCAAAACAGAAAATTATTCTAAAAAGTTGGAAACATTGCAAAGTATTTCCAAGCAATATTTGTTTCTTTTCCTTTTTTTGTTTTTTTAGGGGGGGTAAGCAAATGGTTTCCATGCATAGTTTAACACGTGCTCTCCTTTTTCATGCTTACTACAGAGTTTGAATTTCTGAAGCAGAATTTGGGATTTAGCGAAATGGAAAATACCTAGTTTTCACACGGAGAATCATTTAGCTCTATATCTCCCACGTCTGTTATAAACGGGGCAAAGATTAAAGAAATATTAAGGTTTTGTGATAGGTTTAAGTGATGATGATGTGCTAAATGACAAGACAATCAAATGTAACATGACTATAAACTCACTTGATAGCAAATACAACAGCGCCAAATATATCTCCCCCCATAAAAGCCTGGCAGACAATTTCATCACATTCAAGAAAACACGCCTGTGATCCTTCAACTGATGATTCATTACATTAAAGACACTAAACACAAAAGTGTAACCAATGACAACAGAGGCCTTTCTGAACTTCCATTTTGTTCAACTAGGTACGTCCATGTACATTAACACATTGTAGCAAAATAGATAGAGCAAGCATCAGCAGGTAAAGGTGTGAAACTAGCAGACTTTTGCAAGGGAATAGTTAGTCCAGTAAGTTTGCTCAGGCAAGTTGACTTACCGTACCGTACATTTACATGTACATTTCCTGGATGCGTCTTTCACTGATAACTCCTCTCCGTGTTAAACAATAGAGTTTGGCACCGCGTCTTTACAAGCATTTAACTCAATTCAAAACTCTTTCTTACTACCATAGCTGACCGATGTCCTACACAAAACTCTTTAAGTTGTATTAACAATTAATACAATGGTCCTAACTTCAGTTACAAAGGATACAAATTGTGGAATAATCCTATGAAACGTGCTGCCTTTGAAGCCAAAGCCCTTCTCATGGGTGCAAAGACACCTGAAGTTCTCTAAAATAAACAAAACCGATTATTAAAATACTTGTTAGTAGCAATCTGTGTTCTTAAAGAAGTACAGATTCCATACAAAAGTATCTCATTAATTGTGAAAAAGAGAAACTATGGTCACAAACACTTGATCTAGAGCTATAGCTGAGTCCATCACATCTAAGCCAAGGCCTAAGCCAAGTCACAAGCCATTCAAATCAATTAATTAATCATTGTCAGGGAGCCAGGTTTGCGTAATTGTACTTTCCTTGCCTTCCACTTCTGAGGCCCAGGTTCAAAGTCATAGGCAGGATTGGGTTTTCAGTACCAACCTGGTTTGATGGGTTCCCCCTATAATATGGGTGTTTCAGAACAGTGTGCCTCCAGGGGTTTGCAACGCGTTGGCCAATCACAATGCATAAAATCTGTTGGCCCAATGCGCGTTTGGAAAGAGTTAACAGATATCGCACACTGTGATTGGCCAAACCGTTGCAAACTCCAGAAGGCCGCTTTTGTGAATAGCTCGCAATGTCTGGGGTTTCCTTCCGTCTCTAATATAATGAACTTAACTGCGTTTGACTTATCTTCTTCATGATCACTCAGATCACTCGTAATTTGCACTTAATGTGCTGTTGCATTAACAGAATGAAAACATTTCAACTATAAACAAACTTGTTGTCGCTCTTAATCCTGTTGCATGTACTTGTGCCTGGACTTGTGAAATGACATGCCTGCACTTTTGATAGTCTTTACCATATGGTCCTGAAACAAAAGTCTTTCTATGAGCCCCAAACATTGAGGATCTAAGCTGACTTACACATGAACCCACATGTTAATTCTCATATTTCTGCCTTTATAGTTTGAAATAATTTCAGCTTACCGCCTGATAAATATCTGCCAGGATTCCAGCTGACAAGTTTAAGCTACCTGCTAAAATTGTATCTAATTGCTAATTGTTAGTGCTTTTCCCCAATTTCAATAGCTATCTATCGAAGTTTTGCGGCCAAACACTACACAGCCATTAACCCCTTCACAGCTGTGGACTGCAAAAGCCGCAGCATTGTGTGAGGATTAGTGCATACCACACATACATTCTATTCATCATGCAGCTGCGGTTTCAATGGGGCCTGCTGATGGACAGACCTTTGCATACTGGGCATACCACAGCCCAGAAGTCGCCCTCAAAAGAATCCAAGCGTGAACAAATGTAAAACACAGCGGGTACTGAAGTGCCGTTTTCATGGATTTGATGTCACATTAATTCCAGCATTAATTCTCATTAGTAATATCCATGTATTAATTGTAATTTACAACTACCTGTTGTCATGGGAACAATATCTGCCCGGAGAACAATGACAACACGACCCACTTGCTTAGTCCCAATCTTGATGTCAAAGTAAACATGGGGATTTCCCCTTGACCTCTTAGGGGGTGGAGCAGATGCCTGTTGGTAACAATAAAAATATGCATCAAGTAAATTCTGTGCATTTCAGAGTCAATGACAGCATTCTGAATACCACTTTCTGATTTGCAAAGTATCTTTGCATATACTGTATACATGTATGTGACCAGACTGCAAGTGAATAGAATGTTAATACAGATGGGCATATACAGATCCGCATCACATGTAACTATTGCTGCAACAGATCAACAGTGTCAAATTTAAACAAAATGTGACAAAGCCTCCACGTGTTCTGACGAGAGCACAGAGGCCTGAAAACACTTCACAGGTATTAGGTGTTATGTTCCCAGGCTTTGACACACTGACACCAACCAGTGTTAACCTCCCTGACAGCTTCAGGCTTCGACACACTGACACCAACCAGTGTTAACCTCCCTGACAGCTTCAGGCTTTGACACACTGACACCAACCAGTGTTAACCACCCTGACAGCTTCCGGCTTCGACACACTGACACCAACCAGTGTTAACCCCCTGACAGCTTCAGGCTTTGACACACTGACACCAACCAGTGTTAACCTCCCTGACAGCTTCAGGATTTGACACACTGACACCAACCAGTGATAACTGCCCTGACAGCTTCAGGGACACTTCCACACTTTCATATTCTTAACAATCTAGGGCTCTTAACCTTTGACATGTAGCCTCTAAACTATATGATAATGGTAACTTGTAAACTGAGTCAATTAAAGAATTCAACTGACAGATAACTTTCAGTGTGCCCAAAGACAAGTGGTTGTCTGCGTTACAGAAAAACAAATTTCCAGAACAACATCTACAAAGTTGGCAAAAGAATATAGAATGAGATTACGGTGACCACACCTTTCACATTGTAATTTGGCCAACTGGCCTCACAACCTCTCTAGGAGTATAAAGGAATATAATCTGTCAGTGTTGTAGTCGAGACCACTTTAGACCTTCCCAAGACCACACGAGACAAACACAAGCCAAACGGGCAAAACCTATTATTAAAAACAAAGTGCATAACACTGACCTCATTTGCATCTGTTTCTGCTGATCGTTTGCCTGTCTCATCACCTTGTGTATCTACATTCTCCTTTTCTTCCTGCTTTTTCAAAGTGGCTCCAGCGTACTTCTTTAGCCAATTATCATCAGACCAAACTGCAATCAACGGAGAGGAGTTACACTGTGTCATATAACTCCAGATGCTGTTATGCGAGAGAGAAGATGATTCATTTCTGATTTGTTTTCCATTTACCCATTGACAGTCTCAATTTCAAGCTGCAATACTTTCATCCCAAAACTACTTTTTGTGTCTGTTTTTGGCCTAAATAAAAAATTCAAGTCATTAACCTGTTAATCGTTAACAGATTATTGCTGATTGAACTGCCCAGTGCTGTGAGACTTTAGTCCACTATTTGACAAACTAAAACTCAGTTTTTTTTAAAACTTGGACTCGGCTCTGGGCCCAAAGACTTTTGGCCTTGGTCCAAGTCTTTCAATAAGTCCACCCATAAATGACGGTTCTGTTATCCTCAGCATACTTTCAACATCTACGTAAATATCTAGAAAATGTAATCAACACTGCTCTCTCATTTCCAACCTGAGGAATTCTTTCCTATAACATTCTCAAGGCTAATGGCATAACTTACTCTCTATGATGCTAATATTTTGGATACCTTTTCTAATTTTGGTAGCTATTTACATGGACCTAGGTTTAAATGTCATGCAAAACATTGGAGATGGGAGGGGGGCAAAGTGCTTCAAGAACTTATTATTGCGGTATTTTAAACACTTGGAAATGTAAGTCCTGTTTTTGTTCATATTTGCAGTTACTGATTATAAATGACACCCAGTAGACCTAAACCACAAAGACTTCACACTTTGTTTACATGTGCACTTTCCTATGGGAGCTTGATGGATCACGTTCCACATATGTAAACAAAGCATGTACTATAATGTACCCAATGCATGCTCATTCAGAATTCATGCCTTTTTTCAATGCATAAGAACAACTGTGTTATTGGACTGAGATTCAGAGTTTCAGACTCGGACTCATACTTTTAGACATTAGCTCTGACCCCAACCAATAGGGATCAATCGAAGTACATTTTAACTGATGATCCGATGTCCGATGTTTTAATCGGAACATCGGTTGATGTCTGATCCAATCCGACGCTTTTACCGACAATAACTGAAACGTAACCTTCACAGGATGTAGGCCTACTCCTAACAATCCAAAAACCAGTGTACTTCCTTAAAATGTCAGTTTACACATTACCCGTAATAGGATTAGTTTTTGCCTTCACAGTTGCGCACGATCGATGTAACTGATCACACAAACCCACGCAGTGCTTACTGTGTATGGTACATGCAGAATAGACACAGCACCTCAGGCTGAATCACAGTAGCCTTTCGTCAAGGCACGCATGGCACTGCTGCACCAATGTGTTGGTGTCTTCATCATACATGCTAACGCCAGGGTGCAAGTCAAGTGTTCAGGTAGCCACGCATGCCTTGAATAAAGGCTAAATCGCAGGCTACCTTCAGACTGGTCACACAGCACCTCGTACGTGGTGATACACATGGTGTAGTTCCCGGGTTGTTTTAATGGCTGTCAATGGAAACGGTACACACGTACACTGACTGTTCCTTGGGGTCACGGTCCATGCATTGAGTTGTTGCGGTATGGACCACGCAGGTGTAATTTTCGAGGATACGTTATGTGGGTTTTACCAATGTATAACTGTTCATTTATCACACCGAATGAAAACAAAACAGTATTCATTCTCAAATAAAAATGTGAGATTTTTGTTTGCCAAAACTGAGGGCAGAGTTTGCTCCTTTCTTCATGTAAACATCGGCACTCGTACCGGCAAGGAAAGTCAAATTATGCCAATCCGATGTTTTGTCATTGTTGAATGTCCGGTCCGATCATTGGTTGATAGCTAGTAACCAGCAGGACTTGGGTTCAGAAATGGTAAACTCAACTACTGCAATGCTTTACACACTTTGATCTCTCATCATAGTTTACAGGGATACTCCTGGCGTAAAGTCCAATACCTGCTTTTGAGTGCCCTTCTTTGATCTTCATTGGTTTGGCAAGGTTGACCCGTATTGTCCGACCAAATAGCTCAGAGTCATTCTGGGTAACAAGACAAAATAAAGCATCATCTAACACACAGTAGCTAGTGCTTAATTTCCCTTGTATGGAATTGTTGCTATCCACCATCATCCATGTTGTTTAGGTTGTGACTGAGCACTATGTATGATGCTGATTCACACTTGTCAGTGCAATCCGAGTCTTCTGAGTTAACATTATGTTCACTGTCATAACTTCCCATTGCATGTGTACATTTTCAGTGAAGTAAACAAAACATTGATTCATTCCCTACTTAAAAAGAACTCAGTAACTTCTGTATATTGTTATTCTGCAGTTAAAGTACATGTACATGTCATTCACAAACTACATTTAACTGGCATCTATGATACACAACTGACTCCAAGTTCGTAACACTGCACTTTTACTGGAGGGGGATAATTTTTTCTTTTTTTTGAAAAGGCTGTCATCTATCCATGTAGCTATCTAAACAAAATATGATTGAACATCATCAACAGTGACCTGAAATGTCAGTGGATCAATGCCACTCTGGTATTAACTTATGCAAAATAGACGAATATAACAAGTGACGTGACCAACACAGAGTCCAACTCTCAACAGTGGACAAAGACGGACCTTAAACTTTGTAAGTTGTACAAGTGCATGTAGTTATTGTATCGTTGGGTCCAAATTTGGATGATATCTACATGTTACTACTAGGCTCAATTCCCAGAGCCTGCCTTGTAATTAGCATCATAAAAGAAATGATGACTCACCATGTTATCAATTGCTGCAGCTGCATCCTGGAGTGAGGAAAAAATCATTAAATACATATATTGTGAATATGTGCATTGGAATGAATGGCTCAAACATAAGTCAATACCTGTAGCACTCTGATCTTTACTGGTATCTCAGACAAGGACAATGTAAGTTATGATATCAATCTTCATCATTATAGGGAATTTGCAATCTCAGAGGCACTGTAGATACTGTCCCCCAACTTGGTCTATAAAGGCAAACGTATCAAAGTAAAGCAATAAGCCAGTTTCTTGTTGCAGCTGAGTTCCTTCTTCGTGTTCCATCTCTCTCTTTAAATTTTTCTTTGTTGGTTTTGCATTTATTCTTCTTTCTTACCTCTTCCTTTTTTAGTTTCTCACTTTTTTCAGTAACATATTTTAATTTGTACGTGTACATGTAGCTGGCTACATGTATAAATGCAAGCCTGTTTGAAGGGATAAAAGTTTACTTTATTCCCCAAAGTATCAGAAAACAACTTAAGAAATGCCATTCATCCTTTTGAAAAAAATGCAATCTTAAAATATGGGGCCCACCAGGCCTCCTACCTTATAAAGGGAAAAGAACCTTTTGTATTTTTGCACTCGGCTTTAGCATAGCAATAGCATGTCCTTGTAAGAATTAAGACAGAGGACAAGGTAACCACAAAGCCAGGAATGCCTTCAATACCTCAGCAAACTCGAACTCCACAAATGCAAAGCCTCGATGCTTTTCTGTTTCATAATCTAGGGGGATGTTGATATCCAGGATGTCCCCGAATGGAATGAGGGCAGCATGTAGAACTTTCTCGTCAACTTCTTCTGCAAGCCCTCCTGGAGACAGAAAAATTTCAGTGTAGAGTGACAACAGACTACAGGTCCCTAGAACAGTTTTAACATTCTGATTGGTTCAGAATTCACTGGAAACTAACGTAGGCCTTGGGTTAGTAAGCAGTTAACGATGTGCGGTCTTTAGAGTTAGTGCAGCCTAGCACATAGGCTTACTCATGTAACTCAAAACCAGAGGGTCATGTATTGTGTAAATTCTGGCCTTAATCATTTTTGAAGAAGTAAATCCTACCTACCTACATACACCATCCGTTTATTGTTAGCCATCGTAAAATATTGCGGATTTTAACACCATGAAGAGCGGTGAGGGCCCGCACAAGCTGAATTTACACTCCTCACTGCATTTCAAGTTTTCGCTTTCGTTGCGCCCTCCAGCGAGCTGCACTTACACGTGGGGGGAAAAATACCTATTTTACGGAAGCCTATTTAGGACATGACCAATAACCTTCCTGAGTGAAAAAAAAAAAGGTTTTCCCGGCCGAATTCGTTATCTTCACAGTAAAATTCGTTATTGTTCATTCGTACTCCAACGACTTCTATTTCCGCTGGTCGCTCCCATGATTCTTGGTCATACGGTAGAGACTTCAAATTCGTTTACAAGCGTCTAATAGTGGACTGTAACAAATTTAATTTAGAGCTAATTTCATTCAATTGGACAGTGCCTAGCCGTCATTTGATTTCGCGCTGAGTGAGTGGAATGAGAAATTCCTCCAGAATTTTACTTTCGTTTTCGTCAATGTGCAATCAAATTTTGAGCATTCAAATCAGAAAACTTCAAGCTAAGAGGAATATATGTACAGAACAGAAAGGGATATTACAAAAGAAAATAAGCGAGAAGTGTGTCCACGTATTAACTTAATTAAATGTATATTTTTTATATATCCCAAACAAATTGGACATCAAAAATACAGCACATTTACTCCAATACTGATTGCCCGTATAATCAAAATGTAGAAATGAAACTCTCCCTGCACCTTCATCACGGATGTTGAAAGAAAAATCCTTTAGATGCTGTTTACTGATTTGTAGTTTCTTTATTTTATACACAAGAAACACAATCTCTGTAAATATGCACGTATTCTAAGATTTCTTGGATTCTCTTAAACAATTGCTGATTTTCTTTTTTGTTACAGTTTTAAAATAATGCTTTTGCTTGCATGATTCATTCCATTTTCTCATGCTTTTTAGACACTTCGCCACTTTGTCCATAATTTTCCTTCGCATTTTTATAGAGAACTCTCCCCTTTAACCAAACGTTTCCTTTCTTGAATATTTTGCATAAATAAGTCCCAAAGAAAAAAGAATTAGAAGATTTAATGTTTAATGAATAGCATTGCACGAATCTCACAAATACTTGCTGATTCACGAAATTGAACGCCAAAATACATACTGTGGGAGTGTCCGCGCGAATTTGAATGCTTCTTGCGTGTTTTTCCAAATTGAATGCTGACCCTTCACTTTTGGGAATAACAAGATTGTGCAAGCGCTTTCTCTTTGAATGAAATTGAATGATCGGTTTTGCTCTTTGAATGGTGATCTGATCTAGATCGTCAATCTACTTCGTGCTAATTTGAATAAAACTGTCGCTAATTTGTGTGTGAAGATGATAAATTCGGCAGGGAAAAATTATTATTATTATTAAGTTAACCCTAAAAGAGCTTGGGCGGAATCCACCACCCCCGTTATTTTTTCCTGATATCACCGCAGTGCAGTTTTATTTAGAAGCTGAGACTTTCAGAATTTTTAGAGCAACTCTGTGCGGTCATTTTGACATCATTTTGGCAAAACTCAAAGGTACCGTTCTCGTGCAGCGCGCATTTTTCCGGTTTGCCAAAACGTGTAATTTTCCATTGCAATATATTGGCACGCATGTAGCCGTGAACTTCAAAATAACCAACAAAACCATATGTCTGATAGAGTTCAAACTTCATATTTGTAATGAGTGTTTGTACATGCATGCAAAGTTTCAAAATAAAATTAGGCGTGGCACAGCTGAGTTTGGGTGGGGAGGCTGTGAGATGGGTCAAAATAACCCAGCTCTTTGAGGGTTATAGGTTGTGCATGCTCATATTGCACTTATTTCGTCACAATTCGAGTCGCCAAAAAGTATTTTTACACCATCATTGCGGTATGTGTTGCAGCCGTTTGCCACATGAGGTGGTCTGGTAACTCCCTCTTAACGACCGATGGAGGGGGGTGTCAGCGGGGCCCATTCCTCCCTGCTTACTTAGATTAGAGAAAGGCGAATTCTTGGTCTATTTATTTCCCAAAAATGTAACCCCGCCCCTCATTATAGTCCATAAAAAGTTACAGACAAAATACCAAAGTTTAACCCCTCAAAAATACCCCCACGAAAACTATGGTCTGGATCTACCCGGCCCTCGCTCAGTCGCACATGAAGGGCCACGCTTGTATGTGATTGGCTGGTCTCCAGTGCATTGCGAAAGGCAGGTCAGTATACATGCGCATTGTCTACGTCATGGCAAAGACATTGTGATGGTTAGTAGATATCAATTTTCTAAAGAATATTAGTACTAGAATCTACGGTGAAAGGCGAGTGATCGAGTTGGTTAAAGGGCTGACCATGCCCATTGTCTTAATAAATCGACAGACGTTTGGGATTGCAACCACTCTCCTGGGAGACACTGTCAAGTCATCTTCCAACATGCCATCGCATCTGCAGATTTCCGTCCTTGCCTTCGTCGTAACTGGGACTTTTGCGACCAACTTAGTCGTCGACCATCCCATCGATGAGAGAAAGGCAGAGGAAGACCACTTTGAAGCCCTCTACCAGCAGCAAATCATCGTCAACCCAATGGATGACCCCAATATCAGCTGTAACTATTCCTCGATCCGAGAAATTGTTTCCGAGGAACTGCAGGACACGGCGCGCAGGCTGGCCAAGCTAGAAATGACCATTGTCAAGAATGTAGGTGCCGTTTATTCGGAACTGAACGACATCAAAATCCAGCTAGAGCAGATAAAGACATCAATCAAAGAGATTGCCGACGAGCTTCCGAAACACACGATAGGAACGTTTGTGGTTCGATCGTTATAAAATGACTACATTTCCATTGTGTTTTGTTGAGAAACCTTTTTTCGTTGAAATAAGAGGAACTTCTAGAACTGTATAGGATGTGGTTACCGAGAATCAGAACTGGATGTCTTCGTTCCCTTCTTTGGTCACACATGCCACTTCCCAGGATCAGAATGACTTTCCAGATGCCATTATAATTATGCAAAGTGTCGTTTTGACACAGGAAAGGAATCAGCTTATCTGGATTCAGATTTTAATATCACCGTGATATTCTTTTTTCGCCACCCATGCACAATGAGCAGGGGCGTAGCCACGAGGGAGGGGACTGGGGCATGTGCCCCCCCACACACACAAAACGGATGAATGGATATTGAACAAGGCTTACAAAAGCTTGCCCCCCAAAAAAACACTAAAAGCTGGTGCCCCCATAAAATACTTGTGCCCCCCCCACGCTCTTGTAAAATCCTAGCTACGCCACTGACAGTGGGGTAGTTGACTTTGAATTCAATTTAGGGAATTTTAATTGAAAGAATTATGTGCATGACACTGATTGGATTGAGAACTGTTTGCTCCATTCTAGATTAGTGTTTTCGATGACCTCGGCAACTCAGTAATAGTTCGTTTGTCATTAGACACACGGCCATGAATAATCGCGAGCTGCACCAACTTTCTGATTATCGCTTTGCTTGATTTGATTTATGCTTTCTGTTTAATGTGAAGTGCGCCCTCCTATCTCTGCAGTTCCTCCTCCTCCTCCAGTTACCCCTCCTAAGCTTCCCAAGGACTGCTCTAATGTCTTTACAAACGGTGCAACCACAAGTGGTGTTTACACGGTTCAAGCTGAAGATGTTCTGCGATATGGAGACAGACGGTGGTGGATGGACCGTATGTACAACATATTAATTCTTCTCTGTTGTCTCCAGCCCTCGTACATTCCGTATTGATTAGTTAAAATATAATAATATGCCAGTTCCAAGGTTTTTCTCACTATGTTTTGCTAAACTGCCATACAACAAGCTCTGTTTTTTCCCCGCGTTATCTAAAGGTGTTCCAGCGGCGTCAAGATGGTTCTGTTGACTTCTACCTAGGATGGAAGAGCTACCGCCAGTGGTTCGGTAATCTAGACGGTGAGTTCTGGCTTGGCAATGACAACTTGCATCGACTCACCGCTCAGGTGGATTACCGACTGCGTGTCGATCTTGAGGACTTCGAAAACAACACCAGATATGCAGTGTACAACACGTTCGGCGTCGCTGATGCGAGCACCAGCTACCGGTTGACGGTGGGAAGCTATTCAGGGACGGCCGGTAGGTCATCGCTTTGATATCTCACAAAAAGATGCATATGTAAGAGGTTGCAATTCGAAGTAATATTTGAGTAACTTAAAAAGTACAACCGTTTGAAGCGTTTCGTTTTCGAGTGGTGTTCTTAAGATTATGATTTCCGTATGTCGGGGCAAAACAGCTGAGGAATATGAAGTGGAATACATTACGTAAATCACTTTAATGAGTGAACCCATTTTGTTGACATAGGTGGATTGTTAACACGCATCATTTATCGAATTTCTATACACGGCTCTAGCCTAAAATCAAGAGCATATTTCAACTTCGTGGTTATCCTCCTGACCTAAACTTCGATGTTTCTTTGCATTTAAATTTTTATTTTCACCATGGAGTGATATCCTATTTTACTGCAGGTGATTCACTGCTGTACCACAATAACCAAGCCTTTTCAACCCGGGACCGTGACAATGACTCTTCTTCCGGTAACTGTGCCACTGGTTATGCTGGCTCGTGGTGGTACAATGCCGTTTCCGTTCAAACCTGAACGCCAATTATCTGCGTGGGCAAACGAGTGTGTACGGTAAAGGAGTAGTTTGGAGATCCTGGCGGGGATATTTCTACTCACTGAAAGGGAGTGAGATGAAAATAAAAGCATGAATCCTGCTTATGTTCCAAATAGGAAGCAAATAGAGATCTTTTCACACAATCAACCAATAAATCGTCAATATTATTTCCATAAACCCCTTCAAAGACAAAACAATTGATAGATACTGATTCTGTTTGTAACATTTACATTTTCTGTTTCTGGGCAGCTGGGATCAGTTAAGGGTGAATTCTTCATTAATTTGATAAAGTATACCATTACCCATCTCTCACGAGCTAACATGCTTTATGAGTGCAATACTTAAAATGGAATATACCGAAACATTGTTTTGTTTATCTTCCAAATGTCAATTATACTGAGCTACACCCCTTTTCGCTGTTCTGGTGGAGAAGAACTTTTAAGTGATGATGAATTGAAACTCTTTTGAGTTAAGCGAGGATGGTTTTGTTTGGGTTATGTGCAAAGATATTACAGCAAAAGATACCTTGTTATTTGTGTAGAACAGAACACATTCAGCTTGGAGGTTGATCAGCTTATCTGTCGCCCAATCGGTCATATGATTGGTCTGTTTGTTGATTCAGTTTAGCTGGTAACTTTTTTAATGATTTCAAACAGAATACCAACGAAATAGTATACTTTCATCTTCACTTTCAATTTAATATTTGTTGGTAGAGGAAATATTAATTAATTTTAGTCAATTTTTCCCACTTTTAATTTCAAACTTTAAGTTGGTAAAATAGTCTATTTCCGTTTTATCAGTTTATGGAAACTAAGCAAAGCAGGTTACAATAGGCTACGCCTTACTAGTACATGTATATGCAAATCAGATGGATGCAGACTGTGAGGAGATAAGAACAGTCAGCATGCGAGTGATAACTATTTCACCAAATTTTCTTTGATTTTGATCTTGTATGCCTAACAATCCTCACAATTCGCTTAACTAATGTTGGTGTTTGACCTTATTTGGTTTTTATATCTCAGGGGATGGGATCATACCCCCACCTCATTAATTTTTAGAATGGGTGCAGGGCAATGGGCCATCGATGCATTCCCAGGTTTTATTGGGGTAAACAAAAATAAAATTGCCTTTTATCACCCTATGCAACCAATTAATAGACAGCCAACAAGATTTAGTATTGGTCTGGACGGACGGACGGATCGCAAGATACGATTGCCTAATATTGAAGACACTTTTCATAATTTGGAACTTTTCCACAATGACAATTGCATGTACTGTACCTTCGGCCTTTTTGGTGAGTATCAATCTGAGCAGGCTGTCACACCCACGCAATCTGCCCCAACCCGTAATGTGTAACCTTTGGCGGTCTATGGTCAGACAAAAGGATCCACCTGGACGCCTGTACTTACCAGTGCAGAGTGTTGACAGATTTATTTACGAATTGTTTGCAAGTTATGTGCATTTTAATATTTTCCCGGATCTTAGATTTACTGCTTGCGGATTGCACAATTCAAATTAACGTACAGTGATATAAGCTGAGACCAAACCTTGCAAGGGTTAATATCTGGAAATCTGAGACATAAGAATAATAAAAAAAAATCTCGCTTGGCTTTGTGTAGTGGTAAGGTACTCCCATGGCTCGATGGTTACTACAGCCAGAACCGAGGGGCCTGTGACTAGACTCTGGCCTTGGCGTCTGAAAAATGCTGTGTTTGGTTCGTCTTCGGCTCACCGGACAGACTAGTTCTACCTTCCCTCGGAATTGGCTGGAGGTCGGCCAACCCAAACGTTACTGTCACAGGAGAACCAGGCTGTGCTGTAAACCTAGTTCTTGAAATTCTAAGATGATATTCTTCTTGGCGTCGTAAATCGGAGGAGGATATAATGATGCCTATATAGGTAGGCAATTTCTTGCCAAACACAAGACTGACCAGGTATGGCCCATGCATCGCTGGATCATACATTGCCCATTGAAAATTGAGGGATGTCTTCTTCTAAGACTGATTCTCCAGGCAATTCTTTGTTTGCCTGCAATGTTAGCGTGTGACCCAAAATGTGCATCTTTTCCATGGGATTACGTTATGAAAAATTATGTTATGGTCAAACTGCATTTTTATACTTTGGTCAGCAACAAATTTGTCATCGATTTATGATGACTTGTTACCCTGGCACGTCCAGTCAGCTTAGCAGCAACTGATGACAAAAAGTACCCCTGTGCCTCTAGAGCAGCCGCAACGTGATGAAAGGGTGGTGGTTTAACAACGATGAAAAATATCGTTGGAAACGGCGGCGGGGAAAACCATACTTCGAGTCAGGAATTTAATAAGGAAACTTAATTAATTTAGAAGTTGCTTGTTGTCCATGCCCAAGTATTAAATATACACATCCAATGTAGCTGCTTCCTTTTTGCTTATTGTATTATTCAACGATAGAACATAGCCATGATCGACTGAATGGGGACAAGGGAAAACACACGAAAGGAAGGCTGCGTCAGAACTTTGCACTATTGTGTCCTCGCTTGTTGCAAATCCTTGGCCTCTAAATAACAAAAAAGCCTTTCCATGGACGCGTTTTCACGAGTGTGTGTCGTTTGTGTGAGTTGTGGAGAGTCCGCGGTAAACAGATGCACATCCGGGAGTAGTGCCTTCGGACCCTGTTTTCAGACACGGGTCTTAACAACTCTAGCCGTGGCGAGATAGCACTTTGAAAAAGAGTGTATAGGCCTTTTACGCTTCCGTGAGTTGCGAAGAAAGGCATGTGTGGTTGCAAATACCATTGGAATCATGGAGCCGAGTACCCCTCTGAATGAAGCCGGTTGGGTTAACTTGAAAGAGGTGCAGGTATTACGTAAAAGAATATGCACAGAATAACCGTCGAACCATTTGGCATAACATTGCTTCAATCCCCCAAGAAAAAATCAGTGCTATGAACGTCGGTCTTAATAAACAGTGGCGTGAATTTTCAGTCGCCTGCAGGATAGCTGTTTCACGAATCCTCGTGCATTTAGACAACCATTTTTTTCCTTTGCAGCATCAAGAGTCAGGCTCGTCAAAATGTTTAGCATGATTGGAGCAGTCATCTGGGATACTGGTCTTCTTAGCAGCGTGCCGTCCCTGTTGCTGGTGGGGCTGGCTATCGGAGTAGCTGTTGTCAATATCCTTGATATCAAACGACCGGCAGGTTTCCCGCCTGGACCTACTCCGATTCCATTCTTAGGAAGTGAGTACAAGCTGTGTTATCTATACCGATAAAATGTATCCCTCTATATCATTTAGCTGTGCAGATATAGTGTTTTTTTCCACCCAAAGCAGTGGACTATGGGCGGCCAAAAGGCCCAAAATTAATTTTAACAAAAATAAACAATTACGAGCAAACATCACTTTCTTATTAAAATTTAAATAATAAAAGACAAAACAAACTCCGAATAAACATTCATAAAATCAATTATTTAAAAACAGATAATAATATTTGAAAACAATATGCCCCTAAATCAAAATGCGAAATAACTGATAAAAAAAGAAAACAAATTGTCGAAACCAAAGGTCGCCAACAGTTCACTCAAATTTTCAACAACAAAGCTAAACGCAAATCATTAGAAAAATTCTTAAATAAATTTGGTTCCATCGTACAATACTTCACTTTTTGTAAAATTAATTTTAACCCTTTTGGCCGCCCATAGTGGAAAAGTTTATTCGTTTAATTTGGAAGTTGGTTTTTATAATGATATCCCAACATCACCCCATTTTTCCTGTTATGCAGAATTAAAGATTCCAATCGTCTAATCATGACCATGCACAGTTGTAAAGTGGACCAAATGAAAGGGGGACTGAAGAAAAGGATTGAGTTTAAGAAAACACGCAAATATTCGGGGCCCCTTCGCAACCATTAATCATTCAGTGGCTCTGAATTGCAGATATTCCCAAATCTGACCAGCCACTTTGGATAACTATGGGAGAATTAAGCAAGGAATACGGAGACGTCTTCTCCCTAAAGTTTGGAGCTAAATGGTATGTGATTCTGAACAGCTACCAAACCATCAAGGAAGGTATGGCAGTGCGGCCCTTGGCGCTCGCCAACAGACCTCATTACTACACCAGTAAGTGAATGGCTTTTAACACAATTAAGGGATTGGGAAAAGAACACCGTCTTCAATCTTCCATAAAAGCTGCAAAGGCAAAGTAATGATGCAATGAAATGTTTAGTCAAGATTAACAAACGAAAGATAGGGCTTAACAACAGATTCAAAGGAACAAAATCTACCGATCGTGAAATATTTTATTTTGTCTGTACCAGCCGGTAATCATGATCAGTGTGCTTGTTTGTTCAGGACAACAGTATCTACATGCCTAAAATTAACTACAAGGGAATGCTGATGTGGTGCATTTTTATGGTCCTAAACCATTTTGCAATCTCTTCTTTTTCTAGCCGATATCTTTTCTGACAACTACCGAGATATTTCCTATACATACTACAGTCCATCATGGGTATTACATCGACAATTCGCACTCAGCGCTTTCAGGTACAAAATGAAGGGTGAACTTCCAAGAAATTTGTCGTTTCTTCCAACGAACAGAGGTCAAAACGTTTTGAAAAGAAACGAGGGGGTCATGCAAGCCAACAGATAAACAAAATAAAGTACCAATCGAAAAAGCAATACTGGTAACAGGAGCAGCCAGGAAGAACAATTGATAGAGGGTTTGCATGGCTGCCATCTTGCAGATCAGTTTTTGCTTCCACAGGGTATACACAAGGGAGGTTTCCTTTTGGAACAAAAGAATAGCCCTACAAGATGGCTACTACGTAAAGCCCATATACTACGTCACTTCAAGTTGTATAAATGTCTGAATATCATCACTCGTGTTCGAAATTCCGCTAGAATTCGCTGGCAACACACATCTACCGACAGCACTCATAATACAAAGTTATATAGAGCGTATCATGCTGAAATTTTGGCATAAAGATTAAAATCAAAATGAATAGCTAATCATAATCAATTATAACGATTGACTAACATTTATACGACTTTGGCTGAAGTGGAGCCTTTAGGACAAACTTTTGATTAATTGTTCCTTTATTAGCGACGTGTATGACACCATACATCTCGACCGTGTGGCCCACCAACAGTTTACAAGATACGTGAAACCGTTTTTGGAATCTACAAGAGGGAAGAAAGAGTCGGTGGACGGAATTGCACTTGGCTAGTTGATGGCCATGGGATCCGTGGTTACCTGGTGTTTTGGCCCCTGGTGAGAAGTTTGTTCTATTTTGTCTGCTTGAAAAAAAGCATTAGTTTCTGAAAGTGCGGATTCCGAATTCTCCTCAAAAATACTCTCACGAAGAGCCATATTTAGACCAGAACTTAATGCGTAATTTTATGCATAATGAGAAACACATTAATGTTTCTGATCAAAGATCAATATTCATCAGTCAAATTTTATGATCGTAGCCGAGTATATGTAAAGTTTAAAGGATAAACTTTCGGTGCAAGCAGAGCGAATCCGAAAAAAATTCTTTCATTTACTACTGCGTGACGTTCTGGTTTCGAATAGCAATGAGCAGCTCCATCAGGACTTAGAAGAACCTGTGGGTGAGGTGTTATAATAAGGAGATGCCATCAGTGCAGTAGCAACCATACAAGCGCGGTGCTCATATCCACAGTGGGCGATTCACAGCACCAAAGTGCCTCCAATGCAAGAGGCATGTAAGCGCGAACCCTCTGTCCACGAGCATTATACCACCTTTAATAGTAAAGCCTGTATGCCAACTTACACTACACATTATGCGATATTTCACAGAAGAGATAACTGATTTGTGTGGTGCTTTACTGCGAGCTCAAAAGAAAGCTGCAAAGGACAAGAATTACGACTTTCTGACTGATGTGCATGTCGTGCAGGTTCTGGCTTCTTCATTCAGGGGTAAGTCAATTTGCTGCTCTTTTTCTGAGAATCGAAGACCCAACAACGAGGGATGTATAATTGTTAGACACTTTCTATAGACTAATTAACATTCAATCTTTTAATTTGTCAACATTACTGGTGTTACATGGTCGCTTTTGTTGGCTGCCTTTGAGAAATCGAAGCGGAGGAAGTATGCCACACACATTACAATCCTCTATAATTGTATACTTATCACTTTTCAGTACATTTATTTCAATCGAATTCACAAACCAGCGCAATTTACAATTCAGTAGAAATTGTTGACGCTGGTGTGTTCAAAACGTTCAGCTTCTAATTATCCAAGTCTGCAGATACGAAATTTTTGGTGCTGGCTTCTCGGACCCAAACATGCAGGTCACACTTAGAAAATTCAACAATCAAACTCCCTTCGAAATATTCACAAAAATTCAGGGCAGATCCAGGAAATTTTAATTTTTTATATTGTCAGGTATTTTTAATGTCATTTTGCGGACGAGCGGAAACGATGATGAAAAATTATGACACACATTGTTTACAGTGGTACTGCTGCACGTGCTTTAGTTCTTGTTTATTATTTTCCCTATTTTTTACCCTTTTTGGTCTCGGCCTAGAGATGATTATTACCCCACCCCTGGATCCACGCCTTTGATTTCAAATACCAGCCATGAGTGTATATTCATTGCTCAGATTTATTATCAGAAATGAGTTCAAAGTCTTAATGCTTACAGAAGTCAGTTTTAAGGTTCAATCGCTTCCGGATCCCTTCTTTATATGCCCTTCAAGCTAAGTCTTCCGCCTCCTCGACTAGATCAAATCCATCCTTGAGCTTACCCCTGTCCAAGTTCGACAGGACCTCTTGTTACATTCTCCGCTAAGCGGCCTTTTATTCCACCCTTATCAGAGTAACTCCTCTAGAAAAAATCTCCTGTCTCTCTAGACCATACTGCGGTCACTCCTATGGCGCTAAGTGAGAACGTCAACTCATCTCTGGCCTCTCACTCATTCTCCCTATACACCAGTCCAGTTTGGCACTGCCCCCTCCCCCTCAGCCCAGTGGGCACCGTGCTGGTGACCACCTACCATTCCACCTCATGTAAGGCTCTGACTAATCTGTATATGGCCCAGAGGTGATCTTGCATCCCTGTCGACTTCTCTTCGGACTTACGGGTACTCCTCCATCCGACCACATTCTTCAACTAACACCGATCCCTCCGACAAGATCGAATGGGTAGGCACTGGAGGCACGAGAGGTTCACTCGGCTCTCAGAAGTTCTATAGTACACGCGGGCATCTTCAACACTTCACGGTGTCTCAACCCCTGACGACTCTTTCCAGGATGTTTCGTCGATGGATCCATATATCGCTTCCTTTCACGTCTTTGGCCCATCTATGGCCTCACAACAAGTCCTCATTTTAGGTTAAATTGCTGCAAATTTCAATTTTGCTTTTAGTAAGTCACATTCACAACCCCCCCAAATGGAACTCAATTCTTATTTCAATACTAGTTTGAACCAAAAATGTCCTTTACATGTCCGCTTGTATTCATTAGGCTGAAAACCAGTAGTCAGTAAGGATAAAGGAGAATCGAACAAGGACACTGTGTTTTACAGTGATTTAGATTCAAGACACGCAGGACTTGTGTACTTCATTTCTTCTAAAATGAAAATTGCAGATCAATTCAACAACAATTTAAAAATTCGACTTGGTGCGATTAGCTCCCGAATATCCCACAGCCAGTATTTCAATTTATTATTTATTTATTATTATTTTATTATTTCAACCATAATTTTTGTCGATCACCTTGTTCAGGTTCCATTGGCCTCCTGACGAACACTTACTGGGGACTAGCCCTCCTAGCTGAGTACCCGCACGTCCAACATAGAATCGTCAATGAGATCCATGATGTCATTGGGAGGGATCGTCAGCCCTCTTTGAATGATCGAGATGCTATGCCATACACCAGCTACATACATACAGCTACTGTGATGGAAATGCTGCGGTTTGGATCCGTGGCTCCTCTGGGTGTGCCTAGGGCAGCTCATGAAGATGTAACAATCGGTAGGTTTGAAAAGGCTGTCTTGACAGAAATTGTTGCAAAGTAGAGGTCTTGACATTCAACTTAGATACCAGTATTTTCATCCAGTGAACGGCTTTCAAATAACTGTCCTCATGTTGATGGATACGAAAGTCCTGTATTGCCATTATGTATATAGGCCTGCTTTCAAAAAGTTTTTATAGAAGTCCGTTTAAGGAGATATTTTTTCCCGACTTCGTTTTCACTAGAAATGTTTTTTCCAAAGTTCGTTTGTTCGAGACATACATTCTCCAGTTCGTTTAAATGAGATCTATATTCAGACCATTGTTTCTATTTTTGGTAACAAATCGTTTTTACCAGATATAGTTTTGACGAAGTTTGTTGTTAATATGAGATACATTTTCTCCAAGTTAATTTTCAGGAAATATTAATTGTTGCGTTTGGATTTATTTCTCACAAAAACAAACTTAAAAAAAATTAACTCGTAAATCTCCAAAAAGCGAACTTGGCAAAAAAAACTCTCAAAAACAATTTGTTTCAAAAAATAGAAACAAAATTTCTCTTTAGGCCCCCCCATGGATCTTACAGGAGCGAACTGGATAATATATCTCGAACAAAGGATTTTGGGAAAAATATTTCTCCTAATAGTGAACTTGGGCAAAACATACTTCATAAAAACGAACTTTGAAAAGATATACTTAACTTTTTGAAAGTATGTACTTGACGGCACTTCAGGACTTTCGTAGATGGATACTATTCAGTTCAACTCTTTTGGAGCCAAACTTATGAACGGTGAATAGAACGGGCAAATTTAATTTAGACGTTATAAGAAGCAAAAGTTTTAACAAGTCACACTGATGGTAGCTCGAATTGGCTGTTGTTGGTGTTTCAATGCTGTGATCTTCATATCTGCAAAATATTTTTTTCGTACCTATAGGTGGTTATAATATCCCCGAGGGCACAACGATATTGTACAACATCTACAGTACCCACTTCAGTGATGTAAACTTCGCACATTCTGATGAATTCAACCCGGGTTAGTGTCAGTTGTCTCTTAGGGCCAGGGACATACACAACCTATAGACACTATGACAGTAAAAAAATCACAAAGTAAAAAGCATTTAAACCTCATCTGATATGTCACAAAGTACAAACTGTAGAAATAGTGCAGGAGAAGGAGTAGGTTTGAAAGATTGCCAGCTATTGAGTGTAAGATCTGTACCAATATCATTGACAAAATGAGCTCTAAACAAAAGGCAATCGATTATTGGCCAAAAATACATGTATTAATAAAAAAAAGTGACAAAAATGGTCTAGTGGCTATTTTTGTGAGAAATCTATTGTTACATTCTTCTTAATGTTCCAAATTGTCGAATATGACTCAAGCAAGACCTGTTATTAGTTCCTTTCTACGTGTGTTTCGTTGCTCCCCAGAGCGATTTCTAAACTCCGATGGATCAGTCCATGCCTCACCAGACAAAGTCATCCCATTTGGGATGGGAATCCGCAAATGTCTCGGCTACGTCTTTGCCCAGTCTATCCTCTTCCTTGCCTTCACCCACCTACTGCAGGGATATCAGTTGAGCAAACTCGATGGCCAACCCGGGAATGGAAGCTTACTTGGTCAGGATCCTAAATATGGAGGGTCGCGCTGGCCAAGTCCCTTCCGTCTTGAGGTGACCAAACGTGATTGAAGTTGCATTTCGGTTGGATGCAGCGAACTGTGATGCTTCAACGTTAAGACGGATGCTTTGTTAAATAAGATCAGCGGTTCTTTAATAACTTTTCCCTTTGATTTTGTATAAACGGTATGGGATTGAGTATTTATTTATTAATCGTTTCTTGAACGCTGCGTAAAGCTTCATTTTCCAGTTACATGTAGTTCTAATAAAGTTAGAATAGTGTACTTTTAATCACGAAAATTAGTTTTAAAAATTAAATCTTTATTGCACAGTACCAATAAACGATGTTACAGTGACTTGGTACTACGCCTTGGCCTTAAGACTGTCTCAAGGCGCAAATGTTGGGGGGCCTCAGTCTAATTGTAGATTTTTCAATCAAGGCTCTGTAAGGCCAAAGGTTTTCTACCTTGTTTAGACGAAGATATTAACTTTGATTGTATTGTCATTTTGTTTTGTTGTTAAGCTAACCTAACCATTCTGCTCAAACCCAAACTGTATTGTGCGATAGTGAAGAATGTGTACCCATGCACCCTGAACCACCATATTCGTAATTACTGTTCATAGGATGAGTTCATAGGGTGAGGAGCATGGTAAATACGGAAGGAATCCCAAGGAATCCGTGGGGTCATTACCAGAAATGATTGATAATAATTATAGTCCGCCGATTCTGTGTTAATCTGATTAATACAAGTTGTCCACAGACTTGGCAAAAGGTGGCCGTCTTTTTTAAAGACGTGGAAGGGGTTTTCTGGATTGGCGTTGGCGTTTTCAAGGGGAGGACACATTTTGTCATTATTTAGGATTCCTGTTCTGATAAAGTCCCAGTTGGATAGTTTCTTCTAGAACACGTTCACTGTCAATCTGATCCAAGTAATCAAAGGTTGGTATTCCCCCTTTACGTTCAGTTGGTGTTTACAATGAAATTATGGGTCAACAAATTGGCTCATTAGTTCCTTGATATAGTATCAACTTGTAGGATAAAGCATAGCATTGTGCGGTTGAAAAGTTGTGTGGGAGATATGCCCATTCTAATGCACGTGTGTGCCCCCTCCACAGCAGGATCCCCATTTTCAAACGAACTATTTGCATTTCTAGCGAACGCCCATCAACTATTCATACTTGATGAATATTTCTCCATGGTAAAAAAACAAATGGCAGTGGAAGGAACACCATCATTTATTACAAATAGTGGACTATTGGTGCATATGACAAAAGGTATTCTGAACACAAAACAGCTTACCGCACTCATTTGATAAGTTATTTATCCCGTAATTAAATTTTAGGCATCACCCACTCTTTCTACCAATTTCTTTCTGAAAACACAGACTGCTGAGCATTCAGAATCACATTCATGACAGTCAGAATAGGACGACAGTAGTAAAATTAATTTTGGTGAGTTGTAACTGGAAAACTGAAAATTACCATTTTATTTAGACAAAATAAATCTGGTATCAAAAAGAACGAGCCAAGATGCTTGTTTAAGGGAAACAGGCCTTTAAGCATTTAAAAATGGAGTGGTTTACAACAATTATTAATCGAAGCTGGCAAATAAGTGTGCCCTCATTTTGGAATCCCAGAAGCAAGTGTCGCACCTCCAGAAAACTGCTGCCCTTCTCGCTCGCCAGAAAAAAAATTATCGTAACCCAGTGAAAAACCTGTCCCTGTGGCAACTCAAACTTATTATAACCCACGCGTAACATTACAAGAATGCATTACTGAAGCGAACCAATCGTGACAATGTTTTTCTTTTCCGAGAACTAGGTCTATTCTGATTAAAGAAAGTTATGGCATCGGTAAAAACAAACGGATCCTACGAAACTCAATTTAATGGGACCAAGGGGCCCCAATAACTATGTTTGTGATCAGATGTTCGAGAGACCTCACTCGCATCCATGTGATTGGTAACAATATGGCCCTTGTCTACTAAATTTCTAAGCGCGACCGTCCAGTGTAAGGCCAATGTGCAATGGCATATTAACCCCCGCCCCTGCGGAGGTCTGTGCTCCTGGTGCCTCCATTTAATCCTGAAACGCGCTCTTTCAGTGCCCCTTGAAAATGGGCACAACAAAATATTGGTCATATGTGTCTTGTCTTGTAAATATGATGCTTCACCTTGACTCAAACATCAACCCCAAACTTATCGACACAGTCATGTTACAACCACGATGAACAGCGCCCCCCGGGCCCGGCCGCATCTGCGGACTAATTAACCTCAATGAAAGTCCATGTGCGCATAGTAAATGGTAATTAACAGCGCCTCCTCATGCTGAAAAAATTGTGCTTCCAACGACTTTTTAAAAAGTTTGCTGGGTTTGTGAGCTTTGAAACATTTCATGATCCGCCAACTCTCAAATTTATAGATACCGCCTCTATCTAAATGTAACTAAAATGCAAATGAGACATATTTTGTAGCCATTAGAAAGAAAAAAAAACAACAACGGGTATAAGACATCGGTGATTCATGGAACATGCTATTTCTCTTTGCTTCGCCTCGGGAAAATAAAGTGCTACACGGATCGCTTTGAGATACAAATTTTAAGACATCACTCAAAGTAGTCAATATTTTTTAACTAGGCTTTTTCGGGGTCGGGTTGTCTCAGCCTAAAACTAGCTGCCGGACTTCTCTTTTATGAAAATTCAAGAGACTTTTTTGGATTTTGATGAATTTTCAGTATTCCTGTAATTCAGGAATTCATCCCTACTGAGACAAAATTCCTAGTACATGTACAAAGGCCTGGGAAATGCAAGACAGTGACGGCATATTTCTGCTTCTTCGACGTTATTCTACAGCCACCGTAGAATAGGAGCTACCCTATCCCATGTCCACAGACACGTCACACCGCCGTTCGTTAGTGCGCGCTCAATACAACGTGCAGCAGGTGGCGCCATACACAGAGCATGGAACTAGTCAGCTGCGCACACTAGGTACATGTACACGTAGCTAGCAAAACACGACAAGAAAAGAGTGGTGGTGTGGCGCGCTGTGGAAGAGAGGTTTGTGAATTGTGATGCATGTTACTGATAACGTATGATGATATGCACCCTTTTGTCGTGTTTGTCCCTTGCTTGGTCTAGGCCCTAGTTGGTTTGACTTTTCTGGACTTGTCTAAACGTCGAGAACTGTGATTATTTTGGTTGAGCTGATGGGGGAGGGGGAAAAGGAACTGAGTCAAGGGTCAACTCGTAGTTGTACCCGGGGTCCTGGCTTGCTAGCGTTAGTCCGAGTAACTGGGACTCCAAAAGTCGCCATTTTAAAAATTTGGACATTGTGGGACATTGGAAGAGTTAAAGTAGGGCCTGCCCTCCACAGGCATGACAGGCTTTCCATCATCCACTTTAATTCACTTCGCCCCATTTCCATGTTGCCCCCAGGCTAACCACCTCAATTGTCCCCCTATCCATTTTGCCCCATCCCCACTTCGCCCCCATTTCCACTTCACTCCGTCCCTGCTTGAGTGTGTTAGAACTTACACAAGCACAATCCTCTTCAAAAAATGGTGCAGAAAGGAGTTTTCAATGCGTGAGGTCATGTACATGTAGATCCCAGCGGGATGAATAGACTGCCATTACTGGTTGCTACACTCCATGCATTCTTTTGCATTGATGCGCTGAGGTGGGAACCAGTGCTTTGCACACATGTTTTTAAATGTACATTTACCACAGCGACAGCAAAGCACAAAGAGAACTCGTGAAATTAACAGAAGTTGCATTTCAAATGTAACTGGGAAAACATGTAAACACAAGCATTATAATGAGAAAAAGATTGTTCTGAGATATTTTTGAAGACAAAAAAAAACTTGCGATTTCTGTATTTGTCATTCTTTTATTTATTAAATTTGTTTTCTCTAAGTTGCCAATAAATAGTTTAGGGTCTCACCTAAAAATTAGGGTCAGTCAGGAAATCGGAAGCATTGTTTTGGCTTTTGCAAGTAAATTCTCCGACAGTTATTTGGTTACTCAAATTTTAGTGTTTTCATTTGTTGCATTTAGGCCTATGCCTCTGTTACCAAAGAACAGAATGAACGGTAATTTGTGGGGCAAAGTGGCGATGGGGCAAAGTGGCGATGGGGCAAAGTGGCGATGGGGGGAAGTAGAAATGAGACGAAGTGACTGACACCCTTCCATCCCATTAATTCATTTCATTCAAAAATTGTTGTAGGCTACACCAAATCAAAATCCTCCAAATTCACCTCCAAAACAGTCCTCAAAGTGAGCTTGGCTAAGGATTAAGTGAGAATCAGAGATTTCAGTAATGATGGTAAGCTTTACTCACATATGGGAAGAAAAGAGAAATTTCCCCTTCAAATCAGAAAAGCTTTTGTCCTTGAGCTCCAAGTTGCTGTCTTCTTCATATACTGTATGTCAATGTTTTGGAGATGATGTCATGGGGCACCGGCCTAGCAGACCATTCACAAAAGCAAGCCATGTTGGGATGAGCATGCCGGCGGCTGATTCTTGAGCACCGCAATATCTTGTGTACAGTTTTGATGTGGTCACAGCTGCTAAACGTGTAGATTTAAAGGGCCCATGTGGACCTCCCTGGACTAACTGCAGTTTTCAGTTTTAAATTGTGCTTTGCTACACGTATGTCAGTCACATTACAAATGATGAAAAAAATGGATAAGGTTCCTTTAATTATGGTTTTCAAAATTGCACCCCGCAAATTCATGTGTGAATTGTGACAAATGGCGTCGGCATGGTCGGAGTTCATGACGTAGGTTTCAGGACCCACAAATAGTCTGGCATTATTTCCATCTGAACCACTGAGTAGCGCAAAGAAATTCCTTCATGGTGTCAGCGTAGCTGACTTTTGCTGTCCAAATTTTCTGATGTTTCCCGTCTTTCGGGAAATTGTGGATACTTGTACCATCTTTGCATGTGTTGCCACAACCTACAGTAATGCACCTGAGGACATGCTCCACAAATTTGACTAGTAGTGTTGCAAACTTTTGGTGATCTCGAAATAACGGTTAACTGCACTGGTATACATGCACACAGTGCTAGCTCCGGCACCGCTGCCCGAAGTGGGTTCTCAAATGGGTGCCACGATTATGCAGATTTTCTATGCTAATAAAGCGCTTCTCTTGGGGCGGGGCCGTTTTGCAAAAACTCTTTAGAATTTTTTTCTCATACACAATAATTAAGGCGATAACTTTTACTAACTAAAAATATTTTTAAACATATTATCTCCCATTCAAACTAATAAAAAACACATTTTGTGGGCCCTTTAAGGGTGTTTTTACTAGACAAGTGAATTTTTATAAGTGGTAAAACTTCTTGTTAAATCAAAGTTGTCTCCCTTTGTATGTTTCTACCGGTAAGCAGATGTTCAGGCTACCAGGCCTCTTTTTGGGAGGATCATTAGGCTGGCTGATGACACCTGACAATGCACCATGAGTAAAAGTCGCAATAAGCAAGTACCCAAAGACGGAGCGCCGACTGCCAAGCGGGCACGTCTTGGTACTCCACCATCCTCAGAAGATGACATTAGTGACACTCACGAGGAGAACCTGAGTCAAGTTGCAGATTTTGAGACAGGGGTATGTGGTCATTTACAGTCTTTTCTTTGGTTGGTCTACACTTGTTGAGTTGAGTTTTCATTTGGATAATTAAGTGAAGTACGTACATGTATGGATACACGTAGGTCTTTGCACAAGAATAACAAGGCCATTACAGAATACATGTACATTTATGTAGTACCCTATTTGCAGTGATATGCTTCAGACCACTCACAAGACTAGTCACAAGTAACAAGGTGAGCAGTGACAAAGGAAAGAAATTTATTGCAGTCCATTTGAATGGCATGGGACATGAATTCAGACTGGAGGCCTGAGGGTCAGCCTTTGTTGGGGTTGTATTGGTCATATGCTCATCTTGTGTTGGTCTTGTGAGATGTTGTGATGATCTTAGTTGGTTTTGTGGTGGTCTTAAGAGGTTTTGATTGCAGACATGAACCATTTCCAGTGACCATTGACATGTACCTGCTGATTAGCCTCTTAAATTTGCATGTATCATATTGTGTAATGTTTCAAACTAACAAC